GGGGGGGAGAGAGATTGATGGCCTGGTGCGCCGTATCAGCCGGCGAGCTGGACACGGAGTGGGAAAAGATCGAGTCTGTAAGACGGTGCTGTTGGGGGTGGGCCGGCCGGGCCCCGGTCTGGGTCTGGCGGCGCGGGCTGCAGACGCTGCCGCTGCTGCTGCTGCTGCTGCTGCTGCTGCTGCGCCAGGGCCTGTCCATTTGTCACGTTGAGGGGGAGGGCGGGGGGGTCCTAAGGTGGAGCCCGCCGCTGCTGCTGTGGACACTGGGGCTGGCGACGACGACTGGACCCAGCGCCAGCGACAACAACCGTGCGGGTCAGCGGGGTCCCTCTGCGCGCCAAGAAGGGGACGTTCTCGTCGGGCTCCTTCTAATCAAGCCCTCCCCCATCCCCTCTCTCTTCCCAGTTCACTCCTCTTATCGATTTCGCATTCGCGTGTATACCAAGACCCTCACCACCAAACCCCACCACGACCCTCGACCGTCAACCCCCGACTAGAAGTACGCGACCGCGCACAGCAAGTGCGCTCTAAAGACCTCCCCCCCCCCTCCCTGCCCCGTCGCGCCCTGCCGCCGAGTATACTCGTCTTTTACGTTTCTCAATCAGGGTCGGCTTCTCTTCCTCATTTCACCCAATCATTTTACGGTTGAGCGACGCTGTGGGGCCGCTCCGCCCGCCCCGCCCCGCCGCCTCCCCCACTCGGAGAAAAGAAACCGGGCGACGGCGGTGTGAGCGGGTGGTAAGGGAGCGGCTGGGGTGGGGTGGGGCATGGCGGGGGGTGGGCCGGGTGGGCTTAGGGGACGGGCCGCTCCTATGACAGGCTGGAGATCAACGTTCCCAGCCGTCGTATGTGACTTCAGCCCAGGTATGTCTGGAGGTCTGGAGCAGGGCCGGCGACTCCAGGCTCTTCCAGACTCTTCCAGGACGCGCCCCGCCACTGGGTCCAAGACGCGGGCTTCTCGCCCCCACGAGAGATCCATGACTCGCCCCGTCGGCGCGCGCTGACCCGGGGTGAATCTCTGTTTAGTTGACGCGGCCCTGGTACGGCTGGACTAGTCTGCGCGAGCCCCTTTGAGGATGTTTGTTGTCGCTGCCCATCCCGCCCCGCCCCTCCGCGCCCCGCCACGCCACGCCACGCCACGCCTGTGACACAAAAGCGCAGAAAATAATAATAACGAAAAGGGGGAAGTTCGCCGGCTGATTTATCGTCGTGTGACTTTTGTTGTTGAAGACGACTTCCGACGTGCAGGCCTGACGCCACCGCCACTGCTGCTGCTGCTGCTGCTGCTGCTGTCCACCCCCTAATAGAGTAAACGTGGGTCACGTCCGGCCTTGGAGCCGGCCTGCAGGCAGGGCCTCCAGCGCGACAATAACAATCGTATTTCAATCAGTCCCTTCGGCAGCAGAAGCGAGACAGAGAGACTCTACCTTTACTCGTCGGCACTCATGTTGCAACGCGTGCCACTTGAACTACGATCTTCTCAACTGATGTTATCTTTCGAATAAGGGAAAAGTCTTATTCTAAAGTCAAAGCATATATTGACTTGTTTCATCAAGTTTTGATCTTGGGGGTCGAGCGAGCAGGCAACCCACCCGAACGGCGGAAATGCGGTACTGCGCGGCACTGCCGGGCACTACTGACGTGCGCGGGGTTCATCGCCCACCTGGAATATTATCAACTATACCATGCGTCAGGGCCACGACACAACAGTATGCTAGGTTGCCTTCGCTCGGTGGCTCGGTCCGAAAGGCGCCATGGGCTATGGGCCCCAGGGTATGCAAACCCACGACACTGTTGTGTCGTAGCCACGATGTGGATAGGTTTTCTACATCGTGGTCGTAGCCCTGACACGGTCACACCTTAGACAAGGACTCGAGACCCGGGACCAGCAGCCAAGGCGCAGGTATGAGGCACTCGCGGGGAAGCCGGGGTAGGCCACCACCGGCCACTACCGTGCCCGTGGTCAACAGGTCAAAGGTCAGACAGCCAGCAGCCTGACGTGGAGTGAGCACCCAAAACCGAAAGCCGCACCGACAGAGCGCAGACGTCAGTCCAGTCGCAGCTCATCCATAGCTTGCTTCAGTTACTACATCGAAAACTAGTCGTCTGGTAAAACTGTAAAATAATTCACCATCGGGCCGTACAAATTAAAAAAATCATAAAGACTGTACGCACACTGTATTCGCCTACAGTTTTTTAGAAAGTCATCAAGACTGTCTCTACAGGGGGTTTAAGAGCCCCCACCCCACCCCCTCCCTCCCATCCCTCACCGTCACTCATGTTTGGCACCTCCACTACGCTCAGGTTTTTTTTAGTGTGAGCGCATCGCTATTTTCCTTGAGGGAACCCCTCCTTGAGGGAACCCCGGCCCCGACACACCTGGGAACACCACAAGCACGCCGTCGACGCGTTAATCCCGCCCGCACCGGGTGGTGGTGGTGGTGGTGGAGGATGCCCGGGGAGGTCTGGAGCCTTGGGCCGGTGGCGAGAGCAGCTGCAGCGCAGCCGCAGCGTCGAGCAGGAGAGCCCCCAGTCGGACACCAACCTCAGAGCGGACAGGTCGCAGGTCGGATCGACACAACTGCGCTACGACTTGAGAGTTCAGGTGGGTCCTAGGTTGTACCTTGAATACGGGCGTCCTTCTTTTAGTTTGTGCGAGCAGCAGCGAGCAGCGATAGACTGGGCGGCTGATGGGCGATGGGTGTCACAGGGCTCAAGTGCATGTATTTTTGTTTATGTTTCCTGCAGCTACTTTATCCAGTCCTCGAGGAACATGGAGCCGTCGCCGGACCGAGTGCTGGAGCAGGCAGAGCAGGTGCAGGCGAGCAGTGACGACGAGTGTTCCAGAGCATCGGTAAGCCCCGACGCGTTTGGCTTTGAGCCCCATCACTGCCACACTGTCTGACGCTGTGCCTCCATGTTGCCGTCGCAGGCCGTGGAGCAGCTGCCGGATGACGTGCTTGTGATGGTGATGCAGCACCTGCAGCTGGTGGACCTGCTCGCCTGCCGTCTGGTGAGCAAGAGGCTCGGCGCACTGGCCATGCACCCGGACTCGTGGTGTAGGCAGTCAATTGACGACTATGTCTTTGAGGATGGGCCCCGTGTCGACACTTGCGTCGTGCTGAGGTTGGCGCCGTGCGTGCATTCCATGCGGCTCTCGAGTTGTGGTCAGTCGTCTCTGAGATTCATCACGACCAGATGTGCCGCGAGAAGTCTCTCGCTGACTCTGAGGTCGCTGCAGCCGGACTCAAACACCGAGGTGTTCGCCCAGGTGGTTCGCAACCAGCTGCTCCTCGGGCGGCTCAGGAGCGTTCGTCTGTGCTTCACCGAGAGAGTCTGCGAGGAGCTGGTGACGCTTGGGCGTGGTTCCGACGCGCTCCTGCGCACGCTGGCTGCTGCAACTGGGCTCGAGTCGCTCGTGTTTGACACGGAGATACCTTTTGCAGTTGACCGCTTGGAGCTCGCGCCCGCCTACCCGTCCTTGAAGAAGTTCCATTGTCTGCTGACCCGGGAGGCGGAGTCGTTCGTGAACACCGTGCTGGCCGGGCACGCCGCCACCCTGGAGGATGTCGCTCTCTGCCCTGGCCGCCCCTTTCAGTATTGGGTCGCGTACGACAAGCGGACCTTGGGCACGGCGACGGCGAGCCTGTTGGCCGGCATGCCGAGACTCCGGCGTTTGCGGTGCTTGGTGCTCCCGGGGCTGGAGGCCGTGGCGGCGGTCGAGACGCTCACGGACTTGAGCCTCGTCGCGTTCCACTTGGACTCCCCAGAGGCGGCCGTGGCGCTGCTCCGTCGCGCCAAACAGCTGCGACAAGTCTCCCTGTTGTTTCTTGAGAATATGCACAGCCTCAGGGACGGCAGCAAGCGGATCCTGGCGGCCTTGGCCTCGCAGTCCCACGTGGAGAGCTTGACCGTGTCCGGGAAGCTGCCGCCGCTGGAGCCTCTGGCCAGGGCGCTGCCCGCCCTGCCCGCCCTGAGGGAGCTGTCCGTCCTGCAAGGGCCCATGGACGGCGAGCTGGTGGTGGTGCAGAGCATCACCCCGTACGCGACCCCGGCCCTGCGACGGCTCGAGCTATCCTGGGAGGAGCTGAACTGCCCCAGGAGGTGCGTCCACGCCTGGGTGCACTTGGACGCGGTCAAGACCGCCCTCACTGATAACCCATCGCTGCACATCCTGCTGCACAACCCCGGGGCCTGCAGTGACCGGAACTGCCAGGCGTGCGCAGAGGACTGCCACACTGAGCTGAAGCGGTTGACCTGGAAGCCGAGCGGGGGAGTGAGCTGGGCCACAAGCGAGGAGAAAGTGGGGCTCTTCTCGTACGAGCCGGGCGCGTGCTCCTCGCCTCGCGACCACGTCCCTCGCGACCACGTCACCGGCAAGTGGTGGCGGTGGGTTCAAGTACGTCATGCTTCTGGTTAAATGATGCTGTCTGATTGATGTGTCCTCTCTTGTTCGAAAGAAAGGTCTAATAAATTCATGATCTGATTATGTGGTGAATCATTTTGTGCCTCGTTTCTCATCACGACGCGCATTTCTTCCAAAGTAAGGGAATTCGCTTTCTGCTGGGCGTGTGCTATGCCAGGTTTCATTATTTGTAATCCCCAGTAACATGAGACTATCGGTCGAATGTTGGGGTCGGGTGACTGTCGAATCACCTCTGTGCAACCGGCAGTTGACTTACTTTTAAGAGCCAGATTAATTAACCCTAACCAGTATCAAATAAAACAAAAATTGGTTAATTTTAAATTGACTGAGCTAGGATTCAAATTAATGTGGTTTCATAACTGAACTGATATTCTGTTGAAAATAAGCACAAAGGTCAACAAAATAATGAAATACAATTTGGAGAAGTATATTTACGAATATTTATTGACAAGTGAGTACTCAGAAAATAAAGAAACAAGGTGACAGTCAATGAATGAATGACATTGGGTAAACTTGAGCATGAACACGATCATAAATCTAAACTGGAGAATAATTATTAATAATTCACGTCTAATATTAGTAGCCGCGTTAGTAGCATATAACACAAGTTGAAATAAATTACCAAAATAAAGTTAACTACGACATGAACTCATTCTTAAATCAAAACTGGAAAATAATAATTAATATTACAGGTGTAATTGTCGTTAAGCCACGCACACAAGTTGAAATACATGACAAAAATTAAGTTAACTGTGACATGAACATATTCTGAGGTAGTCAAAAATGGAAAATAACTATTAATAATACAGATGTAACTGTCATTAAGCCATACACACAAGGTGAAATGCATGACTAAACTTAAGTTAAATTCGACATGAACCTTAAATCAAAATTGGGACATATTAATAATTCAGGTGTAACCATCATTGAGCCATTAAAAAAGTGGAGTAAAATAAATGACATTAAGTGAACCTAAACATAGGCACATTTTCAAATCAAAACCAAAAAATAATTATTAAAAATACATATGTACTTCATTTAGTTAAAAATACAAGATGCTGTTCAATGAATGTCTGACATGAGGAAAACATGAGCAGAAGCATATTCTTAAATCAAAACTGGAGGAAAATAATTCTGAGAAAACTTGGGTAAGCACAAAATCTTATCAAGGAATATGGATCCACAGACGCTGCCGCTGGCCCTCAGTCTTGTGGACATGTGAACATTCGCCCGGGCCATGAGAGAAAAGACCAAGGTGCCAATCAAGCCGCCGCTCATCCTCGACGAGCTGCGCGTCGCCTTCAACAAGCTCAGCAAGCACTTGGTGGCAGCCTAGCGCGCACGCCCTCTCGCAGGAGGGGCGGAGGGGCTCGCTGCAGCAGAGAGTGCGGGCGCTCAACTCTATGTGGAGCGAGGGGTTGGCGTCCAGGACGGTCTGCACCGTGTCGCCGTGGAGCCAGGCGTGGGCGCAGACCTCGTCCAGGAGGATCACGCCGACGCTCCGCAGGGCGGGGGCCGAGGCTGGGCTGACGGCCGCGAGCAGCAGGTCGGGGTCCTCGTCCGTGCTCAGGTGGCGCAGGGCCAGCAGCGAGGGCAGCGCCATGGTCAGCGGCTGGAGCAGGGCCGAGCGCGGCCTCCGCTGCGGCAGGCCTCGCAGGAAGCTACGCGCCATCCGCGGGTCAACGTTGCTGAACATGGATCGCACTGAGTTGTGGACGACCAGCTTCTCCACGCGGGACTCGCGGGACGAGGCCAGCGCCGGGATGGCGGCCAAGCAGAACTCGCCAACGCAGGTTCCGCTGCTGCTGTGGTAGCCGACGTCGGGCTTGAAGCTCAGGGTCACCTCGCGCAGCTGGACGGCGTCTCGCAGGAGCTCCACGGCGTCCTCGGCGACACCCTTGTGTCTGATGTCGATGCAGAAGGTGAGGCGCAGGACTCGGAGCGACTCGCAGGAAGCCAGGACCCGCAGCCCGGGGAGAGCTGCGCACTCCAGCTCGCGCAGGTGCGTCATGGCCGCCAGCAGCGGCGCGGTGGAGGTCAGCGACAGTAGGTCGCGGTGGTCGTCAGAGAGGTTGACCCTCTCGAGCGTGGTGGCGTGCTCGGCCAGGATGGAGTTCACGAAGGCCTCGGTCTTGGTGCTCAGGTTGCACTCGAAGTGCCGCACGGTGTGCAGTGCGGGGGCGGCCATGGCCGGGAGCTCGACGATCCGACCCCCTGTCGTGTAGTGGACCCCGACGTCGAGGTGTTCCAACCCGGGCGTCGACACCACTGTCTCCACCGCGGCGCCTCCGGGAGCCAAGCCATAGAGACGCACGGTTAGGCTCCTGAGGCGGCCCAGGGCAGCCTGCCGGCGGACGAGCTCGAGGGTGTCGGCCGCGGCGTCGGCGTCCTCGCAGACGGACACGGCCAGCTCTGCTACGGCGCACCGGACGGGGAAGTCCGCCAGGCGACACGGCGCCGGCCTCGGCGTCAGGAACTCGCCCAGCTCGTCGAGGTGCGGGGCGAAGCGCAGCACCGGGCACACGCACTTGTTGGCGTCGCCGGGGATCTTGCTGCGGCCCAGCCGCTGGTGCAACCACGCGTCCGGGTGCAGAGCCGCGGCCCCGATCCTCTTGCTGACGAGGCGGCAGGCAAGCAGGTCGTCGACGCTGAGGTGCTGCATCATCCTGATCAGCGGGGTGTCCGGTAGCAGCTCCATGACCTGCAACAGCACGGTCGGGGAGGGGCGGTTAGTTGGAAGAGCACACACAGCTGGAGGGACGCCCCCTGAGCTTCATCCCACTCCCTTCAGTTAAGGTGGAATCATGGTGGAATGCAGACTCATCACCCCAACCCCCCCCCCCCACCCCCCCCCCCCAACACACACACCTACGCGCACGCACGCGCGCGCACGGCCGAAAGAAGTGGAGTAGCACAGTTTGCGGCCAATCAACGCGGATAGTGCGGTTTGTTTATCAGGTTGGAGAACACAGGGGGGGTTGAATTTCAATGTGAACGTTCGGGCGTTGCTAGATGCGGGCTTGCAACTTAGCAATTTGCAATCGGTCGGCCAGTACCCCGGCGAGCATCGCCGACTATCTTCTGTCTCTCTGGTCTCTCTCACTTCCACCGGACTTTAGATGGGAGGACAGTCGGGTTAAGCAAGCCGACCTATTGCAAACTCTACACACTAAAATCTTACGAACATTTTTTTTTCATAGATTACTGAGTTAGGTAAACATGCTCCGTTTACGGCATTGTCAAAACACTAGGGTAAAGAAATTTGTTTATACTGGCGTATTAAAAATGCGTAATATAAACTAAGCATGTTCACAGAACTCAGTAAGCTAAGAATAACAATGTTCAGAGGATTTTAGTGCACAGCACACTTTTTTTTACACACATCAAGTGCGCATGTGTATGGCAAGGGCAAGAGCCAGCCCTAACTTGGCTTGACGAGACGCACCTTAACCAATAACTAACTCGTCACAAAATGATGTCTCTCACTCACTAGCTCACTCCCTCACTTTCTCACTCTCGCATACTTCACTGGCTGCGTCGAAGGTACAAACGAAACCGCCCAAGTGGGGCCCAGAGCAAAGCACAACCACTCGTCGGCCCGGGGCCGCGCAGGTTAGGTTATGTCACCCAGTCGATCGAACACCGCTTATTTCACAAGCACAGGAAATATAAAGTCGAGACTAGGGTTATCAGTGCAAAGAAAGAAGGAACGCTTCGCATTTCCATGTGGGAAAACACCCGCCGGCCCGCACTGAAGGAAGATGAGCGCTTAAGCTGGACACACAGACCTACCTTAATCTCGCGTAGTTTTGTGGAGGGGTCTCGAGACGATGGTGGCGGACTAGCTCCGCAAAGTACGAAGAGACCGACCGGAGTCGAGCGGGTCCAAATCGCACGACACAGCCACGGACAGAGACGACGCAGAACGATGCGAGTGTGCCGTCTAACGACTGGCTTCCAACTGGCTTACTGGCTCTGCTCTGCTCCCTCTGCTGCTCCACGGCACGGCACGTCCACGGCTCGCCCCACCACACCCCAGCTCTCTCCTCACTCACTGACTCCTGCCGTCTGATTCAGAAGATCGTTCAAGAGGGGCTTTCCTATACCTGCCCCATGAGTGCAACAAGGACGGAGCTATACGGGAGGTATAGGAAAGCCTCTCTTGAGCGATCTTCTGAATCAGACGACTGACTGACCCCAGTGAGAAATGAGTGTTCGAATCGACCTCGAATCGACGTCGACTGCTCGAGAAGTTATCGTTGGTCCTGAAACGAAGTTGTCGACGAAATTTCGATGTTACTCGAGAAGTGCCCTATGACACGGCTCAACTCTGCCAATGTGTCTGAAAGTGTTACAGAACGGTTCCTGGTACTAAATTGCATGAAATTTCGTATTGTACAAGGTCGATGTCGATTCGACGTCGATTCGAGACAGGGTCTTCCCCTGACTGTACAGTTAGCTCTCGCTGGTGACCCGCAACGCCAAAACAAGTATAGTCTGGAGACTTGTTCGTTCGAGCGCGGGAGGTGTCCATCACGGACATCAACTCTTGCAGTAATTTTTGAACGTGATGGCGACGCGGGTGTCTTCGGACACCAACAGTCGGTACTGGACTTAGCTCAACTGTTGAAATTCGTCTCTTTAGTCCCCTTTCGATAAAGTATCGAAATTGTCGATGTCGAAAAAACGTCGATTTGTGGGACAAAATCCCGTCGATTCGACATTTGGAATCGACAATTTTTCGACCTGCCTAATCGACGTCGATTCGAGGTCGATTCGACCACTGATTTCTCACTGGGGACTGCGCTGCGCCCGGGCCCGGCTAGAGACCCGCAACGAGTGAGCTACGCGAGCAACGCGCTGGAGCCGCGCGCTGCGAGCTATTTTGCTCGTAGGGCCGCGCGCCTCCTTGGCGGAGACAGCCTAGCTTTTCGGAGGCCCCCCTGGCGCTGCTCGCGCTGCTCGTGCGAGCAAATTTGCTCGCAGGCCCGGCCCATTGCTACAGCATGCAGGTTCCCCTGCTCGCCGTCGCCTGCGCCTGCAGCGCCACCGCGCTCACAAGCCACGAGCTAAATAGCTCGCGCGAGCCGAGCAGAGCCGAGCAAGGAAATCGCGCGGTCCACGAGCAAAATAGCTCGCAGCGCGCGGCTCTAGCGCCTTGCTCGCGTAGCTCACTCGTTGCGGGTCTCTAGGCCCGGCGCTGGCTGGCTAACCAACAATGGGTGAACAGGCTCAGACAGGCACTGGTTAGGGCCGAGGGGGGGGGAGGGGGACAAAGCAAGGGGTAGCGAAGGTGTATCCGCGAGAGAGTATCAGACGCAGTTATTTGCGTCTCTCTCACACCATAAGCAATAAGCCTGGCAGAGGGTAGGAAGGTTGGTGAGGGGGTGGGGGGGCGTTCACCGCCTCGCCTAGCCCTGCGCCGCACCGTTTGGGAAATATATACGGTGGATCAGAGAGGACCTAGGTGACCTAGGTCGTCTCTGCTGGGGTAGAGGTAAGGGGAAGGGGAGAGGGGGGGAGGTACGGCGGGGCACCGACCACTGCTCGGCCGCTGCCGCACGCCGCCGCCGCCGCACTCCGCACTCGTTGTCGCAGCGGCACTCAGTCTCAGTCGCCAGTCGTCACGCCATTGCCAGTGGAGAAAAGCCAGGTGCGACGTGCGTCTGACAAACCAGCTCTTCGCGACGGCAATAAAGTTCAGGTATAGCTCATTGGACTATATACGTGGCCCCGCTGCGTTTCTGTTCTGCAACTTAAGCAAGGGCAAACTGTGAGACCGGCGCAAAAGTCAGTCTAAAGTACGCATCCCTTTAGGTTTCCAGTTGCTGGCAGAGTGTCTTCCCAGCCCTTGCAGAGCATGGAGCTGATCCCGGACGATGTCGTAGAGGTGACGGTGTGCAGCGAAGAGCCGACGCCTGTTTCGGAGTGGTTCGAGTCGCCGGTAAGCCCACGACTCACATTGTTGGCACTTAGCCACATTGTTGTTTCCTGCAATGCTGACTGAAACACCCCGATTTTGATTTTTGCCCCTCTAGGTCATGGAGGACATGCCGGACGATGTTCTACTGGCGGTGCTGCAGTACGTGGACGTGGAGGACCTCTTCGCCTGCCGCCTCGTGTGCAAGAAGCTCGGTGCCCTGGCGCTGCACCCGGACGTGTGGCGACATCGCCAACTGGTCGCCGCGAAGGCCGGGCTCGAGGACGCTGGTCAGGAAACCCCTGTGCTGCGCCTGGCGCCGTGCCTGAGGGAGGTGTGCGTCGACTTCCCGTTGGACAACCTGCTATTCGCCACGACCAGGTGCGCGGTGGCGAACATGACCCTGGAGGTGTGGTCCGACCCCTCCCTGCAGGCCGCGCTTGTCCTCCGCAACCAGGAGGCGCTCGGTCGACTGAAAAAAGCCGAGCTGGTCTTCTGTCCAATGGAGCCGATTCTCAACGACATCCCCTGGCAGCCGATGCTCAGCGCGCCCGGTCAGATTCCCTGGCTGGTGTTTTGGACGGCCGCGACCTGCGGCCTGAAGACGCTCGTGATCAACATGTTCCCCCCCAGCGTCCCCGCCGACGCCAGCCTCTTCCGCAACAGCGTCGTGCCCTGTTCGACCCTGACCGAGTTCCAGTGCGAGGTCAGCAAGAAGTCGGAGCCCTTCGTCAACTTTGTCCTGGCCGGGCACGCCGCCACCCTGGAGGAGGTTGGCCTCGCCGGCGCCGGCCTGCCCTCCAGCTCGACGTTGACCGCGACGCTGCTGGCCGCAGCGCCCAACCTCGCTCGCCTGCAGTGCGCCCTGCTGCCCGGGTTAGAGGCACTGGCAGAGAGTGCGTCGCTTCGTGAAGTCTGCCTTGTGGTCACGTCAGCCTCCGACCTCAAGTTCTTGGGGCCTCGCGCGTCAGGCCTGAAGCCCGCGGTCCCGGCGGCCGCGGCGTTCCTGCGGCGCGCCGATCAGCTCCACAACGTCGCCCTCCGGATCTTTGCGGCCGACGCCGGCCTGGCCCTGGTCGAGGCCCTTGCCTCTTGCGAGCGGTCCCAAGTCAAGACGCTGGCCCTGGACCTGTGTAAGGACGGTTCGTTCTCGTGGCTGCAGAAGCTGTTGGAGCCGCTCATAGCGCTGCTCGCGCTGCGGTGCCTCAAAGTGCAGGTGTCCGCCTGGCAGAAGGGCGACAAGGGAGACAAGCCGCTGCCGTGCCACCACGCCTGGCTGCACACTGCCCCCGTCAAGAGGCTCATGGCGGCCAACCGACGGCTGCGGCTGGTCGTGTGCGGCTTCCAGGGCGACACCAAGCCCAAGTACTGCTCCGGCGACGAACCCTGCGACGTGTGCTTGTTGGGTTGTGGGACATCGATGCCGTCAGAATGTACAAAACTCTTGGCCCGGGTAGGAAAAGTCGTTGGTGACAGTCATCTTGATGGTGAATAAAACCTGTGTTCTAAATTAATTGTTTTTGTACTCAGATTTTTCTTTTCTCTCTAAATAAATAATAAATTACCGTATGAGTGTTATGTAAACATTTTACCAGATATTTAATACATAAATCACATCACAAACTTGTGAGTTTCTTTCCAAACTTTGCCCTGCCGCTAAGGTGGGCTCAGGCTGTCGGAATCCCGCGACCGAGACAGTCAACGCAGGCGCAGGGTTGCCAGATCGTTGACTTTGGACGCCTGTGGCTGCGTAAAGTCACCACGAGATCGAGCCCCCTTCGCTTTTGGTGCCGCTGCCGGCGCTGCGCGCCGCCTTGAGACTGGCCGTGTCGGTAGTGGTAGTAGTCGGTGGAGACTTCTCGTCTGCTCTCGTCAGTCGTCAGCTGAGAAGGACGAACGACGACAACCTCCTAGACGCACTGCGCTTCGTGGCCCAGGCTTACTGGACTCGCTTAAAATAGCAGTAGTCGCTAGTCGCAGAGCATTTAATCTTCGTACACTGAGGTAGGCAATATTCCAGAAATGTGTAATTTCCTTACAGTGTATTTTGGATACGTAGAGAAAAAATAGGAGCGCCAGGTTGAAATCGTACCGGTCGTGTGCTTCCTGCCTCCACAGAAGGTGGTAAAAGAGGCTCGACGAACCAGGAACATTTACCTTCTACCCTGGTAGAACACGTTTGTCAAAATTTACTGTGGCTAGGTAGCCAGAATGAGCTCATTTTGACGTCAAATTAGGGTCTCTTCTTCATCCTCCGTTAGTCAACAAACATTCTGTCAAGTAGCTTTGGCTTGAGTCATGTAATAATTGGCGTCCAAAAATTATTTTCTTTTGAAAATGGTGAAGGCACTAGAGATACATTCTGCAGCAAGACCTTTTTCAAAACTTCTACTAAATAAACTTATCGGACTGATGATCTATAAAAGACCTACTACATATATGATAAATATGAGGCGGGAAGTGGAAGTGGCAGCATACATCTGTAGTCGGAGAAAAGCAGTGGTGCATTCAGTGCTTGGTGCAGATATAATTTTATATAATTTCACTCCATCCTGTAGTAATTTTAGGAAAGGAATAAAATTTCTTCTACTGATTCATAACCAACCCAGAGCTACGATTCTCACATTTTTTTCTGTTTATTGTTAGTACGCTTCTCACTGGATGAACAAAGGTACAATGAAGGATTCCCTGTAAGCTGAAATGCGGGAGAATGCAGGCAAGAAGAAAACAGAAATAGATGCTTTAACATGATGACTTTCGTTTTCTCGTTCCCTGCCTTCTTCTGCATATCAACTTTACCAGAATGGTTGGTTGTGTGACAGTTCATCAAAAAGATGCTAATGTTTTATAGGCCGTTAAAAGGCAGTAACCCTAATGCATAGCTCCCTTATAATATTCTTAGAACCCCTTGTTTTTCCAGTTTGGTTATGAAATTTTGTTGTTTTTGATTTGATGGTCCTGTCCGAATCGCTATAAGATGTACTCTTTCTTGGTGAAATTACATCAAGAGTACAATGAGTACCAATTAGTACTCCTCTGTCTTTCAAGTTTTGACAACAATTTCCAATGGGTCGACGATAGGGTGATTGAGATTGGATGACTGGGACTGACTGGATGGTGACTGGAAAATGACTGGATTGGAATCTGTACACCGATTGGTGGAAGTTGCGCCCCCCCCC